ACCTACTAAGTGCCAGGCTACTAAGTACCTACTAAGTGCCAGGCTACTAAGTACCTACGAAGTGTAAGCCTTTACAGACGTGATCTCATTTGAGCTTCACAACAACCCTGGGAGGGAGGTACTGTTATCCTTCCCACTTTACAATTGAATAAACTGAGGCAAGCAGAAGTTAAGTGACTTGCATAGGGCCAAACAGCTAGTAAGTGTCTGAGGCTCAGATTTGAACTTGTCTTCCTGACGCCAGGCCCAGCGCTCTAACCACTGAGCCCCCCAGCTGCCTCCGAGGTCATACATTAGATCACACTTGAAGTCAGAAGCCTTAAAACAGAAACCTGATTTTACATTTATCAGCTATCTGATTATGAGCAAACTGGTTAACCTCTCCTGGACTGATGCTCCCCATTTTGTGCTTGGGAGAATATTTATATTTTTCTTCTTGCTATACATTTGAAGTAAATATTCCTTTGTAAGAGTTAATTTGTTAAGTAGTTAAATGGAGCTAGGGTACTTGGACCCCTAAAATTGGGAGAACCTAATAGGTGGAGGCTTGAGCCAATGGCAGGGATGAGAGAGGCCCCAACCCCTTTAAGGGTATCCTAGAACCCTAAATTACAGGTGAAAAGCAAAATACTGGCCTTCAGCCAGCAAGGGCCACTGAATCAGTGTTGTACTGGGAGTGATGATACCTAGGCTACCCACCTCACAGGGCTATCATAGGGAGCAGACTCTAGTTGAAATTCAGGGAACCTGGATGCAAATTCTGACGCCATTAGTTGCCTAGGTGATCTTGGGCAAGGTGCTTAACCTTACTAAGCCTTAGTTTCCTCATCTGTAAAACGGGGAGTTTGAACTAGAAGATTACTATTTCAGTTATGACTCCTATGGCCTTAAATGAAGGAGAATATTGGTGATAAAATCCTTTCTCTCTTCCTCTCTTGTCTTTCCTACCCTATCAAGGCCCAGCTGGCCCGGGCCCTCTATGACAACACAGCGGAATCTCCAGAGGAACTGTCCTTCAAACGCGGGGATGTGCTCCGAGTGCTACAAAGGGAGGGGGCTGGGGGGCTGCAGGGTTGGTGTCTCTGCTCCCTTCATGGCCATCAGGGAATCGTGCCTGCCAACCGAGTGAAGCTTCTGCCCACTGGCCCCAGCCCCGAGTCCAGCTTTTACCAGGTGCCTCCCACTCACCAGAGCACACCTGATCCAGTCCCTGGGCCTGGTCACACGGAACAGGAGGTAAATAAGGGACTAGCCCAGGGGTGGGGAAGCTGCAGCCTTAAATTGACATTTTAACCGAATGTCAAAAGGCCCCACTTAAGAATCTAGAAGGCCACATGTGTCCTTAAGGCTGGAAGATGACTTTCCCCCTCCCCATCCTTAACTTGGAGACCCCAACTAATCCAGGCAGTGCCTCAAGCTCTGTCTATATAGGTCTCTCTCTGGTCTCCAAAATCTAAAAATCTTGCTCCTTATCAGCCTTCATTTCCCCTCCCTTTATTTATACTCTTTCCTCCAACTTGCATGAATTTCTTTATCTTCCCCTATCTGACTGAAGACATAGATAGCATGGTAGAAAGAGTATTGGGAATCAGCAGAGCACAGTTCTGATTCTGGCCCTGACACTTATTACCCTTGTGATCTTGGGGAAGTTCATTAATCTCAATGGCCTTGGTTTCCTCTTTTGTAAAATGAGAAGGTCAGTCAGTGAATAAACATTTATTAAGGCTTATTATGTGCCAGGAAGTATGCTAAGTGATGAGGTTAAAAAAAGCCTGCCCCCAAGCTGCTTATACTCTAAAAAGGGAGGTGATGAGCAAACCAATATATACAAACCAGTTAGATTGAGGATAAATAGGAAATGATTAAGAGAGGGAAGGCACTGGATTGAGAGGATGTAGATGGATGTATATATTGGGGCAGCTAGGTGGTGCAGTGGATAGAGCACCGGCGCTGAAGTCAGGAGGACCCGAGTTCAAATCCGGCCTCGGACCAAACACTTGACGCTTACCAGCTGTGTGACCCTGGGCAAGTCACTTAATCCCAATTGCCTAAGGAAAAAAAAAAAAAAGATGATATGTTAGTTGGGATTTGAAGGAAGCCAGGAAAGCCAGGAGATGGAGATGAGAGAGAAAATTCTAGAAATGGAGGACAGCCCAAGAAAATGCCTGGAGACTAGAGATGGAGTGTCTTGTTCCTGGAATATCTAGGAGGTCAGAGTTACTGGATCAAAGAGAACAGGAAGATGTAAGAAGACTGGAAAGGTAGGAGAGGACTAGGTTATAAAGGGCTTTGCACACTAGAGAATTTTGTATTGATTTTGGAAGCTATAGGGTGTCACTGGAGTTTATTGGATAAGAGGGTGGCATGGTTGGACCTTTGATTTAGGAAAATCACTTTAGTAGCTAAATGGAAGCTGGATTGGAGTGGGCAGAGACTTGAGGCAGGTAGACTCACCATGGGGCTATTGTAATCAAGGTGAGAGAATGATACACCTGGATTGGTGGCAATGTCAGAGGAGAGAAGGGGCCATATTCAAGAGTTGCAAAGGTAAAATCAACAGGCCTTGGCAAACAGTTTGGGTATGGGAAGTGAGAGAGAGTGACAAGTGGAGACTGACTGCTAGGTTGTGAGCCTGAGGGACTTTGAGGACTGTGGTACTCTTGATAATAGTAACAACAGAAGTTAGGAGGTGGGGAGAAGGTTTAGAGGAGGAAACAATGAATTTGTTTTTGAACATGTTGAGTTTAAATAACCGCTGGACAATCTAGTTTGAGATATCCAAAAGCAGTTGGAGATGCAAGACTTGAGGTCTTATCATTTAATTATCATAGAGATGATAATTAAATCCATAGGGAGAGAAGAGAAGAGGCCTGAGGAGGTTGGACTAAATCAAGGGTTCTTTTCCTTTTTTTGTATGTCCTGGACCTCTACTGCAATCTATTGAAGCCTATGGATCACTTCTCAGAATGATGTTTTCAAATGTAACAAATAAAACAAATAGGACACCAGTTATGTTGAAAAACCATTATCAAACAATAATAATTTTTAAAATAAGTTCACAGACACCATGTTCAGAACCCCTGGAACAGATGTTTTCCGAGTTCCCACTGAGTGCTAGATTTTTTGGATCCTAAATTTAGAGCAGTAAAGGAACAACCCCTTTACTTTACAGGTAAGGAAACTGAGGCCTCGGAAGGTGAAGTGAGTTATGTAAAATAGCGAAGGATTTAGAACGTAACTGCTCTTACTTGAGAGCACCGTGGCTCTTTACCCTGTGCCACCTGAGACCGTAGTATGACTCTCTTATTGCCCACCCTCCCAGCCCTGCTAACTCATGCCATACTTGCTGCTCATTCAGGTATACGTGATACCCCCACCACCCCGGCCCTGTTCTGCCCCAAGACCTACGCCTGGGCCCTGCCCACCATCCCCAGACGCCATCTACAAAGTCCCCAGAAGTAGTGGGACACAAATAGATGCCCCTGGAGATACTCGAGAGGTGAGGATGAAGAAGCTAGAAAACTGGGAGAATCTGCCTAAGGAGCAGTCCAGGAATAGCATTGGGAAGGGAAGGGAGGAACGTGGGACAGGGAGAGGCGAATCTGTCCGAGTTTGAAGGCTGCAAGGATATTCCCTGGGGAGGGAACCAGAGAGAGGTAAGGAGCCTCTTTCTGAGTCTTACTGATCCTAGCTCCTTTTTTCCCCAGCAGGTTTATGATGTACCCCCCACTGCTCTTCGAGTTCCCCCCAGTGACCCCTATGACTCCCCAGTTCCTTTCCCCCGCCCCCTAACCCGAGCATCCACTCAACTCCCTGGGGGAGATGATGCCCCCTATGATGTCCCCCCAGCTCTGAAGCCAACTCCAGAACCCGACCTGGAGTGGGAAGGGGGCAGGGAACCAGAGCCCCACCTCTATGCAGCCCCCTCCAACCTAAAGCGGGTACCAGCCTTGCTCAATTTGTATGAAGCACCAGAAGAGCTTCTGGGTGAGGGCACCTCCACCAGCAGCGATGAAGCCATCTATGATGTACCCCTTCTGGGTCCTGAGGAACCAATGCCTCCTGGACCTCCTAGTCCCCCTGGCTCCAATCCTGCCCCAAATAATCTAGAGACCCTAGCCTTGCTTCTGGCCCGGAGCCCACCTCCACCTCCTCGGCCCAGGCTCCCCTCTACCGAGAGTCTCTCCCGGCGTCCATTGCCTGCCCTGCCTGTCCAGGAACTCTTGGCCCCATCTCCTGTCCCCTCTCCTGCCTCTGGCCGAAAAGGCAATATCCAGGATCGGCCACTGCCCCCGCCACCTCCCCGGGTGCCCAGCTATATGGGACTCAAAACTGAGGGAGACGAGGAAGGAAGAGTGGGGGATGCAGGGGCAGAGACAGCAGACCATCACAATGAGTATGAGGGCATCCCCCTAGGAGAGGAGTATGACTACGTTCATCTGAAGGTGAGCACAACCTCTGAGCACTGACCCCTCACTGTTCAATTCTCGAGAGAAACAGAATGAGAGGGCAGCAAAGTGGAGGTAACAGAGAGAAAATTCTCCTCAATTCTTAGTGCCATCTAATTGTCATTCTTTTTTTCCCCTTGGGTGGAATGGGGAGAATTGATTTCATCAGTGTAGGCAACTTCTCGACCCACCACCTCCAATTCACAGATCTGTGCCTGGGGAACCAAGAGGTTAATTGATTTGTCCCATGGCCATCCCATAGGGATGGTAGCACTTGAACCCAGGTCTTTCAGACTCCAAAGCTAGCCTTCTATCCTATGTTGCTGCTATCCTATGCTATCCTATGGTGCTATTCTATGCACCATATAACCTCTCTTTAGACTTTCTGCCTGGTTCTAGGGGGTCAATTCTGTTGCTAAGCTCAAGCTCTTGGGCCCTAATCCCATCTTTTGTCCAAATGTCAAATTTCTGTCCCTAAACCCAACCTGTTTTCCTTTAACACTTTTAACTTATTCTCCTGGGGCATCAGGGAAAGCATCATATGTGACTTTAGATAACCACTTTATTTCTCTGGGCTTCATTTTCCTCATCTCTAAAATGTGGGGGGTTGGGGGACAGTGTGGAGGGGAGGAATGATGATTAGATGAGTTCTAAGGTCCCTTACAGACTGAAATAGTTCCTATGACCCTGAGCCATTCTAGAAAACCAGGGATCATGATAAAAATTATCAAATGATGTAAATGATTAAATCTTCATCATCTATATAAAGTGCTTTGTACAACCCTTAAGGCAAATGATAATGATGTAAGAGCTGAAAGAAGGAAAGGCGCAAACTAGCCAGTTGGGCAGTCTTGGGAAGGAATGAAAGACTCAGCCAGGCTTCTACTCCCCCTTCCCTGAGAGGTTGGGTCCCCTCCTGCAGGGAATGGAGAGAATCCAAGGATCTGATCCTCTGGATGGGGCCACATCCAGTGGCCCTGAGTCGATGCTTCAAGAGAGGCAGCTGCAAGAAGAACAGGTAAAACACCCCTGGGCAGAAGCAGGGAACCTTGGGAGTCTCTTCTGGGGAATAGGAGCAATCATTTGGGGAAGGGAACCAAAAAGCAGCTCAGGGAAAGAAGTTAAAATTTCAAGGGAAACATTGAAAACTCAGATAGGAAGATGTTAAAATGGGAAACGTAAAGTTAGAATTCAAGAGGGTGGCACTAGAATAAGGAGAAAGGAGTTAGAACTTGAGAAAGTTGAGGTCATAGGGGTTAGAATTCAAGGGATTAGAATTTAGGGAAAGCGAATCGACTTTGTTAGGAGGCAGAAAACTAGACAGCCAGGTTAGAAAGAGCGCCAGATGGGAAGTCAGGAGACCTGAGTTCTAATTCTAGCCCTGGCCCTCAATGAGTAACTGTGGGGCAGTCATTCATCTTTCTGGGCCCCTCACCTGTAAATTAATGGGGATGAACTGGCTAACTTCTATCTCAGGGATAAATGCAAAGGGAAAGGATTGTAAAGTGTGAAGGGAAAAATGCTCACTTGGGGAAAGCTCTGTCAGATGCTCCTAAGGGTGGGGGCTCTGGCACAGCCTCCCTAGTAATATTCCTTCTCCTCCTCGCAGGAGGCCCTGACCCCAGGGGAACCCCTTGATCTGCCTTCCGGTGACCTGCAGCTATTACACTTCTATGCTGGACAGTGCAAAAGCCATTATTCCACTTTGCAGGCAGCTGTGGCAGCCCTGCTGGCCAGTACGAGAGCCAACCATCCCCCTCGCCTCTTTGTGCCCCACAGCAAACGAGTAGTAGTAGCAGCCCACCGGCTGGTGTTTGTAGGGGACACCCTGGGCCGGTTGGCAGCATCAGCCCCTTTGCGTGCCCAGGTTGGCACCGCCGGGGCTGCTCTGGGTCAGGCACTACGGGCTGCTGTGCTGGCTGTCAAGGGTGCTGCCCTAGGTTACCCCTCAGGTCCTGCTGCACAAGAGATGGCCCAGCGGGTTGCTGAGTTGGCTGGACAAGCATTGCAATTCACCACCCTGCTCACTGGCCTAGCACCCTGAACATCACACCTCCCTACCTGCCGGACACCCTCCATACCTTCCCCCCAAACCGCCCCCATCCCCTGCCCAATTCCAACCCATCCTAGAACTCCCTCCCCTGCCTGAAATGACCTACTCCTCCCCTATCTTCTGGAGACCTCAGGGAGGTCCCTAACCCTGTCAGCCCCTCCACCCACCCATGGCTGCCCTGTGGATGCTGGGAGTGGGATAGGCAGTCATCCCTCCTCAATCCTTTTCATTCCCTAGGATCATCTCATTCTCCCTTCTCCACTGTGGATTCTCCTTCTCTTTTCCATTTCCTCCTTCAGCAGCTTTTTGTACGAGCCATTTTATATAAATTATTTATATTTAATATTATTCCCCAAATTGTTAGGGGAGGGAAAGAGGAGGCACATGGTCTGCCATAGTGGATGGGGGCAGGATTTCTCATCCTGCCCCTGTCTTGGCATTTGGTCCCTTACCTTCCCCAGCTCAGTGTCAAGAAGAAAAAACACATGACAAAGGCAAAATGCTGGAGGAACAGGGAAGCCACTCCTTTACATCCTGAGGCCAGGGTAAGCTCAGGACCCTCTGCATCTCCAAGGGAGATGGTGAGGTGAGGATGAAGCAAGGAGCCCACACCTTAGGCCACGGGGGAGTGGCTGAAGCTGGAAACCTTCTGGAACTGAATATGGGATCATGGGAAGGCCTCTGAGAAGACTGTGGGGGAAAGAAGGGGAAGGCAGAGAGCATCCTAAACTGGAACTGTGCGCCTCAATAAAACCTGCTCTTTGTCAACCATGTCTGTGCTTGTCTGTGTGCTGATGAGTAAGATACTTGGGGGAAGAGAAGCCCTTACTCTCCAAAAATTGTACTTGGGAATGAGGACAGACTTAAGGACTGGTGTGAGGGAAGACACATATACAAGGGCCGAGGAAATAGAAGCCTCTTAAATAAATGAAGCAGTGTGGAACAGTGGAAAGAGTGCTGACTCTGCAGTCAGAAGTGTTAGGTTTGAGTCCAGACTCTGACACTTGCAAGTGACGTGGCCTCGGGCTTTCCTGGGCTTCAGTTCTTTCATCTGTAAAATGAAGGGGGGGAAAGGGGGAAGGGGTGGTGTAGGAGTAGATGGCCTCTGTGATCCCTTGCATCCTACAATAAACATGGAACAAATGTGGAGAGGATACTAGAGTGAATTGGAGTTCTTGCTTGGGACTATTTAATAATGCAGTGATATCCAAAATTCCTTATGGTACTTTCCCTTGAAATAGGAGGGTCCCTTTTTTTCCAAGACTTCTTCTCAGGGAGTGGGAAAGTATTACAGGTTAATGGATCTTGAGCTGGAAGGGAGATCAAACTATGGCATCTATTCCACTCTCCCACCCCCACCCCCACCCCCCACCCCCGCCCCGCGCACACACACACCAGAAAGGTGGCTAGACTGGCGTGGGGTAGCAAGGCTAGGCTTTAAACTCGGGGCCTCTACCCCCAGATCCAGCAAGCTTTCCCCATCTTTAGTGCTATCAATGATCGAGGCATTGGAAGCCTCTGGCATCCACCCTGGGCTGGCTGGAGAGCAAGCTGGCTGAGCACCTCCGCCCCGTTCCTGGCTCCCCTTCTCCCGTTTCCCGGGTGCGGTGGTTTCCATGCCTTGAGGCCACTCAGAAGAAAGGCTGATAGAGTGAGCTTCCCTCCCTCTGAGGGTGAGTCCAGGAGGACCCGGGAAGGGGAGGAGAGTCTAAAGGAAGGGGAGGAGAGAAAAAGGAGCCCAGAGCTGGAGAAAGGAAGGGGAGTGGGTAGGGTGGGAAATCTAGCAAAGCCATGGAGTGAGGGCCAGGCAGTGGACCGGAGCAATCAATAGCAGGGCGGGGAGAAGGAGGCGGGAGACTGGGTCAAAGGAAAGGAGAGAAGGGGAGGGGAGAGGAGGCACCCCCCAACCCAGCCACAGCAGTAGGCCCGGGCTCCTTGGCCACCAGGACCCCCTCGCCCGATGGGGGGAGCAGCAACGGCGTCAGGGCCGTAGAGACCCCCACCAGCCCCAGAGGGGTGAGTGACTGGCCCCTAGAAGGTGCATAGACCTCACCTAGCTCTTATCCCACCATCTCTCCCCCTCCGCCCCTCCTCGCATCTCCCCTGTCATTCTCCGTCCCTCCCCATCCTCCCTATTTTTCTCTCTTGTTCCTTACAGGTTGGGTCCCTCCTCGCCCCAGGTTGAATGGAGCCACGGGAGGGCGAAGGGGAGGGGGACGGGGGACCAGCGGCTCCTGATGCATTGGGGAGCAGCCTGTCCCTGGCAGCCGCCATAGGGCCCCCCAGCTTCGAGTCGCTGCTCTCGCAGGTGGGGGTGGTGGGGAGGGCCCAGCAGGTGCAGCTGGGGTTGAGCTGCCTGCCCCTGCTGTTCGTGGCCCTGGGTCTGGCCTCAGACCCCATCCTCACGCTGGTGCCGCCCCTGAGATGCCGCCAGACCAATGCCTCAGGGTGGGAGCCGCCCCTCAACACCAGCGAAGAGGCCTGCTCCCCACCCCCACCCAACAGCACCCGATGCCCCCATGGCTGGGACTATAGTGGTCTCCCTGTCCTCACCAGCAACATGGTCACTCAGGTGAGGGTGAGGGTGAGGGATAGGAGTGGAGAGGAAAAGGACTTTGGGGCTGGGCTGGAGGATCTCCTGCCCTCTCCATCCCAGCAAACCCTTCTCTCCCCCTCCACAGTGGGACCTAGTCTGTGAAAGGGGCTGGGAGGTAACCCTGGAGCAGATCCTCTTCCTTTTGGGCTTTGCCTGTGGCTACCTGGGTCTGGGCCATCCTACAGACAGGTATGTGTGTGTAGGGCAGGAGTGCATTGCACTAGTCCAGTCTAAGAAGAAAGTGAGCTAAGGGAAGCCAGGCTTGAGAGACATGAAGGAGACTCTAGCCAGGGGACCAAGAAGGAGTTCTGAAGAGGGTGTGGCGGGGGTAGACAGGCCTCCAGTTCTAAGGGTTTCTAGGTCCGTGTTGATCTGTAGCCCCATCCCCAGCCCTGATGCTCTCATGTTATGCCATAGGACACCAGTCTGAATCTTAGCAATTCAATGGGACTGACCTTGGTTCAGGGATGAGGGAGAAGGCTGTGGTATGCTGTGATAGAAGGTCCTCCTTTTCTCTAGGGTAGGACGTCGAGGGGTTGTACTGCTGGCCTTGGGGCTGGCAGGACCCTGTGGGGTAGGAGGGGCTGCAGCTGGCTCCCCGCCTGGTCTTACTGCTCTCCGATTCCTCCTGGGCTTCATGCTAGCTGGGGCTGACCTTGGCCTTTACCTGACCCGTGAGTATAGCTCCTTCAGTCCCTGCCCTTTGCAGCTTCCCTATGGTGATCACCCTAACCCTACCTTGCCCCTCACCCTACTTCCATCTTCTACCCTCTCTGCCTCCCTTCCATATCTCTCAGCTAATTCAATTAGCAGCCTCACAGATGCAGAGAATGGTACAGCCCTTAAAGATCATCTAGTTATGCCCCCTCATTTTACAGCTAAGGCTCAGAAATGTGAATCCACTTACCCAAGGTCAGCTAGGGCCAAAGCGAGAACTAGAACCCTAGTCTCCTGACTCTCTTTCCCACGCTCTTTTCATTGAATGCTGAGTTCAGCATCATTGACTGCCATTGTGCTCCGTAGGGCAGATCCCTCACCTTCCCCAAGGCCTTACCTAACTCTAACCTCTCTACTGCTGGTACCCCTCTTCCCACTGCTCCCTCTCCTTCCCTGCTTCCTCTTCTTTCTCTCATATTGTCCACTTTTTTCTTCTGGACCTGTGCTTGACGTGTCCTCAGGCCTGGAGTTATGTGAGCCCTCCCAGCGGCTCCGGGCAGTCCTGGCCGGAGAGCTGATGGGAGTAGTGGGACAGTTTCTGCTCCTGGGCCTGGCTCTGGCCTGCAAGGACTGGAGACTTCTGCTCAGATTGATCACAGCTCCCTGTATTCTCTTCCTGCTGTATGGGTCAGTACCCTCCCCATGCCCTCTACCAGCTAGCCCATAGACCTAGGGAACATCTGCTGTAAAACCAATCTTTTCCCCCACCCCAATTCGATCATTCATTCTACCATCACCGCCATTGAGGTCTCCTGCTCCCAAAGCTCTTTTCCCAGCCTTATCTTCCCAGCAATGAGAACTTCACGTTCCCCAGGACTAGCAAAGAAGGTCCCCAGGATAGGGAATCCCAACCATGGAGGAGGCCTTCACTGTGACTAGAACTCATTTCTCCTTCCCTCCCTCCCCTTAATCCTCTCCCCTGCCTGTCTAGCTGGCCAGGTCTGTTCCTGGAGTCTTCAAGGTGGCTATTGGCGTCTCGTCGGACAACAGAAGCCCAGGCTGTGTTGAGAGTTCTGGCTCAAAGGAACAGACCCCAAGGGGAGCCACTGGGGAATGAGGCTGAAGAAGCCCTGCGAGGTGAGAACCCAGGGGAGAAGACTGGAAAACTCTTAGCTGGTGAATAACTTCTAAGTGTGTGTACATGTGGGTGGCTCTCTGGATGCAGACTTAAGACCTGGACAGGCCAGAAAGGCCTCCTGCCATGGAAACCAGCCTCAGACAGGTCTCCCACTACAGGTCCCTATGTCCCAGAGGGATTCTGGCTATAGACATCCCCTCCCAGGGACCAGATCAATATGTGTGTAAGCTTAGGCATGTGCCCACAAAACCACTTTGATTTTTGGAGTATGCTTCCCTCTTTCCCTCTTTCCATCCCTTCCTAAGATCTGGAGAATACTTGTCCCCTTCCTGCAACTGCCCAGATCTCCCTCTCAGCCTTACTCAGCTGTCGGAACATCTGGAAAAATCTGCTTATCCTGGGCTTCACCACGTAAGCATTGAACAAAGTGGGAAGGGGTGGTGGTTGGTGGGCAGGACTAACATAGACCTAACTGGCACCAAGGGCAGGAGGTGGGAATGGGTGGAGACCCTGTAGCCCAGTGGGCTAGACATTAGGAATTCCACATAGGTTTTATAGCCTGTATTCTAGAAAACTGAAGGTAGGGATTCCAGCAGAGGTGAGGGAGCTGTGGGATGAAGACTCAGGGTCTTTCCATTTGTCTCACCCCCTACAGCTTCATTGCCCATGGGATTAGGCATTGCTACCAGCTTGTGGGAGGAGGAGTGGGACGAAAGTCCCAGGTCGACTTCAACCTGTATTCCCTGCTGGCTGGTGGCACAGCAGGCTTGGCCTGTATCTTCCTTGGGGTTACCGTTGACCGTTTCGGCCGCCGGGGCATCCTGCTGCTCACTATGACCCTCACTGGCATTGCCTCTCTTGTGCTGCTGGGCCTGAGAGACTGTGAGCATCCCAGAGCCATGATAACATCTCTCCCTTCTTCTTCTCACCGGGGTTCCATCCCTTTTCTGGGGAACCTTAGGCTATGACCCTATCAGATAAACTAAATCCTCTGACTCTTTGCTCAAAGTACATATTTCTCTAATATATAATAATATAATATAATAAATAATAATAAAACACCATCCCATATGTATTTTTTCCCACCATCTTTTCTATCACCAACCCCACTCTCTTCTCATCAACAAACATTTGTTAGGCACTTACTTTGTGCAAAGTACCATACTTGACACTGAGGAGATAATTTTTGGGATACTGCCCAAGTACCCAATAAATGAAATAGTCAAGACCACAAGACTTCAGGGAGCACTGTGGGCTGGGCAGTCAATGTGGATCCTGCTCTGTTAGGGTTTTCTGACACCTCTAAACTTTGTTCCTGTAGATCTGAATGATATGGCTGTCACTACCTTCTCAGTGCTCGGACTCTTCTTTTCCCATGCTGCTGGTGTCCTCAGCATTCTTCTTGCCGCAGAGGTCATCCCTACAACAGTCCGGTGAGAACTAGGGGTGGGGCTTAAGTGGGAATGGGTCACCTCCAGCCTGGTTCTAAGGGAGTTAAGGGCAAAATCCAAATTGGTCAGTGGATAGAATGCTGGCCCTAAAGTCAGGAAGATCTGAGTTCAAATCTTGTGCCAGAAACTTATTAGCTATGTGACCCTGGGCAAGTCACCTTTCTTAGTCTTAATTTTCCCTTCTATAAAAAAAGGATAACAATACTTTCTATTTCAGGGCATTATTTTGACGATCAAATTAAATAACATGTGTAAAGCACCTTGCAAACCTTAAAGCACTATATAAATGCTGGCTATTATTATTCTTAATATTGACATTATTAGGAAGGGAATCATGAAGGAAGGGGACAAAGTGGATAAGCTCTAAGCTGATGAGGGGAAATTGCTATTTGGGTCAGAAATGAGGTCTTCAGGCTATGTCCGAGTTTCATTTTCCCCCTTCCACAGGGGACGGGGCCTGGGCCTAATCCTGGCACTGGGGGCCCTAGGCCAGCTGAGTGGTCCAGTACAGAGGCTCCATGCCGGTCGAGGTGCCTTCTTGCAGCATGTGGTCTTGGCAGCCTGTGCCCTTCTCTGCATCCTCAGCATCATGCTGCTGCCTGAGAGCAAACGCAAGGCCCTTCCAGAGGCCCTGAGGGATGGGGAACTCTGTCGTCGGCCCTCCTTGCTAAGGCCACCACCCCCAACCCGCTGTGACCATGTCCCATTGCTTGCCACGCCAACGCCTGCCCTCTGAGTGCCACTGGAGGGATGCTGACAGGAGAATGGAGGGCACTACTTTTGAAATGCAAAGAGGCTAACAGATGCCATGACGGAGATGGGAAACACCATAGCATGCCATGCTGGATATAGGAAGGCCAAGCTACACCAAGAGTAGACCCACGAGGGAAATCTGACCACAGACATGAAGGAAGCTGAGTGAACCTCATCCAATAGGAAGATGATGTATACCAAGAAGACCACGTGGAAAGTGGAGCTAAGTACATTCCAGCCCATGGGATGCCACATTTAGATGAGGGGAGATCAAAGCCTGCTTCACTTACTCTTCCCTGCTACTTTGTGGTCCCCCTCAAGACCAGTGTCTCAGGGAGGGGTCATGGGGCTCTGTACAGTGATCCCCTTGCAGAGAACACAGGTGTGGACTGCAGTAAGAACAGCAGAATTCTCTCTAGTCTCACCCAGGGAGACCCAGACCTCACACACTGGGCCTACTACTTATATTTCAAGAAAGGAATTTCAAATGCAAGAATAATTGAGGAGCCTGAACTTTCCTCTCTTTTCTGGCTCTATCCCTCTACATGAAAGTTTTTTGCAATGGAAGGGTATCTCTGAGATCTAAAACATACCAGTCTCCCACCCTACCATTTCCTTCCTCTCTCTGGGCTCTGGAGAAATGATGTTGCTACTTTCCTTCATCAGTCACCATCCCATGAACAGCTACTAGAAGGCAGATGATAGAAGACAGTAGGCACATTTGCCTTAATGGGGCTGGAAGGTTTCATTTTGGGATCTGCTCTGTCCTCAGTTACCACATCTAAATTCCTTCAAGAAAAATTTAGATGCAGGAATGGGAAGCAGCCGCCCAAACCAGGAGCTGATTAACAGCCTTAAGAATTGCTTCTTTCATGCAACAAGTATTTATTGAGCCTACTGTGTGTCCTAGACCCTTTGGGAAGATATAAGGAAGCGCTGGACAACAGTTTCTGCCCTCAAGGAGCATATTATCATTTGGTTGGGGAGTCAAGATGCATATGTAAAAACTAAACAATACCAAGGCAGGATGCATGAACAGGCCTAAGAGCTCAGAACATTGAAGCTTGCCTCCGAGTCGCCTTACTCAGATATGAAACGGGGTTCCTATTGCTCGCATTACCTCCTTGACTATGTTGATGGGAAGAAAATGCTTGTAAATTACAACGTCCTAGAAAAATGTAAGCTATTATTATTACAAGTGCCAGTAAGAGTTTAGAGGAGGAAGAGGGCATCTAAAATAGAAAGCAGAGTAGGATGGGGGTAGAGTGCTGGACTTGTAGTCCAATGACCTGGTCAGAGGTCCTGAGTTCAAATCCCACTTCTGCTACTGCTTATGTAACCTTATTATGAGTCACTTCTCTATGGATTTCAGTGTCCTAAACCTTAAGATAAATTTAAAGGTCTCTTTCAGCTCTAAATTTATGATCTTTGATCTATGCTAATCGGGACATTAGAGCTTAGAGATTATCTAATCCAATCCCCTCATTTTACAGACAGGGAAACTGAGGTCCAGAGAAGTAGTCATTGTAGGCTGAAGTGACCTGAGGACTTCACTAAGGGTATTTGGAGGGGGACAGGAGGATAAGGGTCTCCATTTGGGCCTTGAAAGTAGGGTTTATTTAGATAAAGACCAAGGAAAAAGACATTTCCAGCATGTGGACAAAGCATGTAGGTATAGAATAAGCATAGTATTTTCAAGGTCAGTTGTTTCATTACCTCTTGGTAATAACAGCTCTTTTAAGGAAAGTATAACCCCAGGGCTATGTGGACCAATAAAATCATATATGAGACAGCATTCTGAGATCTTTAGGGGGGGAAATATCCTATATAAATCTAAAGCTGTCCCCTACTGGAACAGGAGAACAAATTCCTTTGGAATGCTTCGCTAAAAGGGCAATGCTCTTGAAATTTGAATCAAGAAAATATGGGATGCATGGTCATTATAAGTATACAAGAAAGGACAGTGGGAGTCAGAATTCCACCTGTAACCTAGGGTTATTGGTAATATGGAAATAATGCCCATCCCAGATATACCTCTGGAGGGTCTGTGTGAACTATTAAAATCACATGAGAAAGGTCTTTTGAGTACTTTGAAAAAGAGATTTTATAAAAATCTCAGACTGCTTTATTTGTTAATGATTTGGTATTGTATATGCTATTGAGTAGTACAATAATTTCAAAAGTAATGACAAAAATGAGCTAATTTCCTTGTCAATGTATGTGTACTTTTCTTAACAGAACTGAGAAAAGTCCAGAGGAAAGAGATTAAAATGACCAAGGGGTTAGAGCAGTTTCTGCCTGTGCAGAGAGAGAGACTGGGGACACAAAGACAAAAATTAAAATTCTTGGCCTTGGAAGGGTTTATGTTCTAGTGGGAAAAACAACAGGTACACAGATAAATTAAAAAATATATACAATTACAGAGCCTGAAGAAGGGCTAAACTCCTGGGGAGATGAGGCAAAGCCTTTTATGATAGAGGCAGGGGAGCTAAGTCTTATGAAGTAGAGATCGAAGTCTATGAAATCACAAGGCTGCTAAGCAGTGAGGACGTTTGACATTCGACAAGCATTTATTGTGGTCAGTAAAGCAGTAGACATAGTCAGGCATTCAAGTGATAAGGTGCCTACCCTGAAAGTATTGATACTGTGGTTGGGTAAGTAAGATATACATTCATATTGCAGACCTAGGAAAAAATTATAAGCAGTGTGTAAGACAAGTAAGCCTGGTTCACCAAATCCTAGAATACTAGAATTTGGGTAGGTGTCCCTTTGAACCTTAAAGGACAATTCTCACACCCAAATAAAAGAAATTGCTACCTTAGTTTGCACATAGTAGATGTTTGATGTTTTTATTCAGTTAACTGGAATTGTACTGACTCAAAACCCAGGTTCAACAAAGGCTGAGATAAATTTATGGATGATATATTGATCCACAATAGATGATGTTAGGGATATCTGAAAGGAACATTCTTCACTTTCTGTGGTTATCATCATTAAGTCCACTTGAATGCTCTAATACCCAGAGGATCTATAATCTGGCATGGCTCCCCCTACTCTGCAGTAGTATGCAACCCGTCCAAAACTTAATAGATGGCCTTTTGATAGTTGAAGTGGTCGAAAAAGTCTGTCACTCTGCAGCCAACCTGGGGATGAGCCTTCTATATTTAGATGACTATTCAGAGAACATATGTACTGTTCATCACTGGGATCCCATTAGATGCCTTCCCAGATGCCAGAACTTTTGAGCTCCACTACCAACTCTCCAACCTGCCCCTGCACAGCAATGGAAAGCTCAGGGTCATGGTGACCCATCTGAGTAGCCTTCAGCAGAGCCCACTTTTACAACACTGTCACACCCAATAGTATCAGAAACAGATGAATTAATTTGTCCATTTCTTAAACAGGTAGATGGCACCATGGATAGTGTTGTGTTTAGAATCAGGTACAACCGAGTTAAAATCCAGCCTCATAGTTTTACTAGCTAGGAGATCCTAGTGAAGTCACTTGTTTGCCTCAGTTCCCTCAACTGTAAAATGGGGATCATAATATTGACTTCACAGGGTTGTTGTAATGATCATACGAAAATAATTTTAAAGTGCTGAGCACCATGCCTGGCACATGGTAGATACTCAAAATGCTTATTCCCTGACCCTTCGCTTCCCCTCCCCCACTTATGTTCTTGGTTTTTAACATGAAATTACAGCACCAGCCTCTGTCCTTAGTTCACAATTTTAGAGAAAGCATACACACATACTTATGTGACTAGTTGGCAGTGACTATTCCATACTTACTCAGCATACAATGAAAAGATTACCTGGTGCTTTTCCCTAAAGTCAGGGTCAGGTAACGATGGATGAATCTAGTAAAAGAACTGGGTTGCTTGCCTTGTGGTGTACATAACTTTCCTTGCCATATCTATAAGGAACCTTTAGGTCTTACTACCCATACAACTTAATTGACATATTCCAAATACCTCTAACTTTCAAAAAATATTAGACAGGCTGTCCAATGTCCCCTTTAATTCCCAAAGAGCTTGATGAGAAGGAGGATGCCAAGGCAGAATCTTGCTCCTGGAAGATAATTTCCCCTTCACGTTTCTTGCCTTCTAAGTCATAAATATTCCCCATCATTTAAGATGGATACACTATATATGGCTCACAGTAAAATAATCAGATCCGTAAAAGATTTGAATCTTAGGATGGGAACTAGGATTCATTGTGGAACAGGTTTTGTTGTCACCAGCCCCCAAAAGTACTTTGCAGCAGAAACCTCTAATTGTATATAGTCTATGGATAGCTACCTCATACTAGCTCAAATGTTAAAATTCAGTTTAAAAATTAAATGTAAAAGCAGAGAATTGGGAAGTTCTCCAATGGGACAGAAAACCAACCAGAACATTTGAATAGGAATGCAGAGAGAGTAGGAGGGTGGTCCTAAATTAGAGAAATAGTAACTTCTACCTTAGTGAGAACCGGGCCAAGAATGGAAGGGAAAAGGTGGTATTATTTCCAACACCAGCCAATGCAGCCCCCACAAGGCTCTGATCCAAAGGAGTCTTTAAAAAATGGGATACTCTAATTTCAAAGACAATAGGACCACCAACCATGCAAGAAAATTCTCACAAACCAGCCCCAACCTGCAGAGATTGGAAAACGTAGCTATATGGCCAACAAGCCGTGCTCTACCCTCTGGTGGACAGGTAATATTGCTTAACCCACTTCTGCAACCACTAAGCTACTTCTTAGTCCCACAAATTCTCTAACTAAATTTATTCAAACATCAAGCACCTACAAATCCAAAGGTCTGGAGAATACAAATCTGCTCCCAAATAACCTGCTAACTGGGAAGAAAAACAAGTGAAACTTATTGTCAGCCAAAATGACTGGTATCCAATACACACTACTGAAGGTCAAGGAAATGAACTCGAGTCAAGGTAAAGAAAGTCTTCGTGGGAAAGCAGAACTGGGTCTTAAAGGATGGGGAACTTTGCTGCCAAAGGCGAAATTTCAGATAAGAAAAAGCATCATGAAATAATACAAAACACAAAGCAAAGTCTACAACTGGACTGGATGATTTGAATAGTTGTAGATGGGAGTGGCAGCTGCTAAGTGGTGCAGAGGACAGAGCACAGGCCCACAGTCAGGAAGATCTGTGTTCAAATCCGACCTTCAGACATTAGCTGTGTGACCGTGGGCAAGCCACTTAACCTCAATTTGCCTCAGTTCGTCCGTAAAATGAAGTCACACCGAAGAAGGTAAGAAGTGAAGCTTCTCTCACTTGAATCTCTGGACAATAAAGGAACAAAGAGGGAAAGATTTTTGAAACAAAAGCCAAGGTTCTGAGTTGAGGTGAGTTTTAAGCAGATATAGACATCATTAATTCTTCAAGACCCTAATAATCTAAAACATTTGATAAGAAATGTTAGCATTCTAATTATCATCATCTATAAATCCCTCTAAAATTCATTTACCTCCACAACTGTTGAAAGTTGAACAAACTGAAAATAGGTTAATTCCCTAAGTTCACATGGCAACATAGGGCAGGAAAGGCAGCCTGTTAGCCCAAGGCAAACGAAGCTGTGGACAAATCACCCAAAATCAAATGTGTACAGCAAAGGTGTCAAAAACATTAAGTCCAAAAACATAACTTGGAAATATTTAACAAAATAAGCATAATAAAATGTTAAATGTGGTTTTCTAAGTCAGTATGTACCCACAGAAGTCTTATGTCAGTTTAGTGGCAATCTTTGAGTTTGACCCCACTGATGTATAGTACACATGCATTTACGTCACTCTACCTAGACACTTGGGTTTTTCCAGTCTTGGCTTAACATTTCTACCTATCAAACGCCCAGGAAAACAACATATAGTCCAGAAAACTAGTCTTCCTCAATTACAGGCTTCATTATCCCAGCTACTTGCAATTTAATGCCTACTTTTAAATTCTGAGTGGCAAATCTACCTCTATAACACCAACTCTTCCAATCAAGAAGGGTTCACCTTCAAGCTGAAATTTAAGGGAAACAAATACTCCTTACATTGAAAAGACCGCACACTATTTTCAAAAAACATTTTTTATTCATGACACATATTAAAAAAAAAAACAAAAAACTCCTCCCACCCCTGGAAATACCTAAAAAAATAAACAAAATCCCCAAACCCTCCCTCCATCCCCTGTTCCCACTTCCTCCCATCCCCTCCAAATCCAAATTAAAAGAAAAAAGAAAAAAAAAGAAAAAGAAAAAAGAGAAAACAAAAAACACCCAACCCCCCATCCCCCCAAACAAGGTGGTGCATTTCCCCGGGGGGAAGGGGAGTTTACACTGGAGCCGCTGGGAGCGGAACGGAGATCTTCCGGCTACAGAAACCTGCAAAGAAAGACACTCAAAACAGAAACAGAAACACAAACGGAAACAAAATAGATCACCAGGGAATCTCTGGAGGGTTGGGAGAAGTCGTCCCAGGGATGAGGGACAGGGAGCCAGGAAGAGGGGAGGTGAGAGGGGGATAACTGGCAGGATAAGAGGCAGGCAGGAAGGAGAACAGGGAGAGATGGAGGGAGGGTAACAAGCAGAACAGTTTTGTGTCCTTACATACCCTTAGGTAAAACCTTTCCCACCATCCTGCCCCCACCCATGAGCAGCCCCAGTGGGTGAAGTGAGGAGAGGAGGCAGAGGGGAGAGGGGTAGGGAACAGCTTTCGATGTTGAGACTTGTCCATGTCGAACCCCCAGAGTGAATGAGCAGCCCCCTGTCCCATTCCCTGGGGGGGGGGGGGGCCCTTCCCCTGACCAGACCCTCAGAAGCAGGTCCCTCATCAGCAGTTAGTTATGGGATTCTCCCCCCTTCCACAGTATATCTTTTTTTTTTTTTAAAAAATATTTTTTTCCATCAAGGTCATCTTCTGTTTTTCTTTTTTTTTTTAATTCTTTTTTTTTTCCTTCTTTCCTTTTTTTCCTCTCTCTCCTCCTAATACACACTTTTTTGGTTTTTTTTTTGTTTTTTTGTTTTTTGTTTGTTTTTTTTAGTAAGGGGAATACCATGACGTCGCTCTAGCCCGGCCCCTAGAAAAAAGAAGGAGAGTTGGGTGTAAACATAGTTAATGGACATCTCAGTACAACCCCCTCCCGTGGTCCTACTAGCCAACTCTAGCTCCTAAGTTTTTTCTTACTACATACACCTAAGATCCCACCAGAGGGCACAAGTCAGCAGAAGGGAAGCTGTCTGGATGGGGAAAAGAAACTATACTCAAAGAACATGTGCCAGTAAGGGGAGAGTGAAGAAAACTGAGGAGAGGCCCAGTCCCCAATATTTCAATAGCTTTCAACCCTCCTTAAAAGCATTCACCCTGTTGCCCACGGTATTTATTACCACCATCAATTTCTTTCTTAACTCTCTAAGGATCAGGAAAAGCAGCTCTTCTGAAAAGCTAGAGCCTTATACTACCTAACTTCCCCTATATATGTTAAGTAGATTAAAGTAAAGGAACTGACCTAGGATCTCAAAGCAACAAGCATCCAGACACTGAGTAAATTATAACTCCTAAAATCCTGACAAAGGCTAGTAAATATAACCTCAATATCCTCATCCAGAACTGGGGAGATCCAATCTGGCTTTGGAATTTTCTTAGAGATTCTGACACTTCCAATCCCTTCCCACCTCTGAGGAAAAAAAAAAAAGCTCAACTCACCCCCTCCCCCTCCTCCAACCTTCCTAGAAAGGGCATTGATACTTGGTTCTACCCAGCCTTCTCTGTAGAAACCCTCATCTGCTAGTAGATTTTCCTACTAATAATTAGAAGGGAGAAGCCTAGAAAGGGATTTGGGAATTTCAGACTCTCCTCATCCCCAGTTACTGCTTAAGGACTGGGATTCTATAAGTCAAACTTGCCCTTTAACTACCATCACACACAGGCAAGAATCGAAGCTCCTCTAGGGAGTGAGGGCTTGAACCAGATGAGAGGCAGGGCATAAGACTCATGGGGAAGGAGAGAGGAGCAGCCCATCTATCCTGACCTGTAGACTCGGCCCCGGGGTCTGCTGTTGAAGCCACTATAGAATCTAGAGCGTGAACTACTGTAGTTAGTAGCCCTGGCACGATAGCGGGCACGTGGAAAACCCCGATCTGTGGTGCTGATCCCTGGCCGATTGGTCCGTTTTGGTATCACCTAAGCAAATGGAAAACAGTCAAGACAGGTTAAGGGCAGTCCTCAGAATCTGCATGGAACACTCATAAATAATAAGAGACAGAGCTTACTTTGATCTGTCGTCCTCTAAAAAGAGAATCATCCAAGGCCATCGACGTCCTCACTGAATCTTTATCTGAAAATTCTATATATGCAAACCTGGGAAAGGGAGAAAACAGAGAAGCAGATGTACATATTTTCATACATTTAGTGTTCCTATAGTTTTCTATATATCCATTATTTCTCTAAGTCTAGCCTAATATGTCAGCTCCTGAAAAGAAGACCATATGATCTAACTTATTCTAGTCTATTCAACAAATATATATTAAGCATGTACTGTGTGAAAGGCACCATACTAACACTATGAATACAAATACAAAAATGAATTGATGCCTGCCCTCAAGGACCTTACATTCAACAATAGGGCCTAGGCCAGTGATTTCACTGATATAAGGAACTCCAGATGAAGAAACTACCTGTGTCAATCCAGGCTGGCACTTTCTCAGCAATGTGTAATCTTAAGAGTTGCCTAGATGGCTGAAAAGGTAAGTGACTTTCCCAGTACATTTCAGAGGCAGAACTTGAACCCAAATCTAATACGCTACAAGGCCAACTCAATCTAATACTAAAGCTACCTCTCCACATTCACTGAAGTACCAAACATAACATACCTGTCTGATCTTTAAATTTTGATGAAATGAACCTCCTTCCCCTGCTTACCCCTTAGGATGGCCACTGAACTTGTCACAAAGGATGGTAACTCGATTAACTGAACCACAACCATGGAAGTGTGCCTCCAGCTCTTCTGCTGTTGCACCATAGTCCACCTAAGCAGAAAAAGACAAATTTCACTGACAGGGCAAACACCAACTCAAGATAACACTGGCTGTAGTCTAGTATTGGGGTTGGGGGGACCAATGAGGGGAGAGAAGAGGCCCTAGGCTAACTACAAAGTCAAAACCATTCCCTCTTTTGCCTTAACCCACGCCTTTTCCTTTGCAATTCACACTACTTCTGGTTTTTTCATCTACAAATTGCAGGAAAGTTGGACTAAACGACATTTAAGGTCTTCCAGTTAGAAATCCTACAGTTTATACTATACCTCCTACTCCCACCCCAATCCCAAATCCCTACTAACCACTTCTCTTGAAGATAAAATATTTGCCTCAATAGGTTCTCTTTCCAAATCTTTCCCCAAAATAATAGCCTCTCCCAGGAAAAAACTAATACTTACATTGCCCACATAGATGGACCGGGCATCAGCCTCCATCTTCTCTTCAATAGACATGATCACTGGGCCAGCTACAAAACAGAAGAGAGCAATTTCCATCTTCTACCTACCTGATCCTCATAAAAACTCTCACTCTTAACACCTCAACAGAAATTAACCCAAGCAGTCTCACATCCTTGAGAGACTCTGACAGCAAGCCCTGAAAAAGGGTAAATTTAAGAGGTGTGACACAATGAAATGGAATCAGAGCTCTACTATTAACTATCTATGTGACTTTGTTCAAGTCCCTTGCCCTCTTTGGGACTCAGTTTCCTAATAAAAGATTTGAGCTAAATGACCTCTAAGATCCTTCTCCAGCTTTCAATCATTATAAAATTCTCATTTAGCATTTAGGAGTCCCTTCCTACATTTAGCACTAAGAAGCTAACTTATCTACCTAAATTTAGGAGTGTAAAAATTAAACCTGAATTTGTGGATTCTCGATAATGAAGGCAGGGTCACTAGCTTAAAGAGGAAAGCAAACGTGACACAAGGGACAAAAACCGTCCTCTCCAAAACCACGGTTCCTAGCAAGGTCACCAGGGAAAGATCTTTCCAACTCCCCCTCCCTCCCCCCCATCAGTGGTCCTCCCCTCTTTCCTTCGGTCCGAGGCCCCTCCCCCAAGCTCACCATTGCCTGGGGGTGGGCTCATGTTCATCTGTTTCTCCACCTCGTTCTGAAGCTCCTTCAATTTCTCTGCCTCTTCCTCCATCTCCCTTACTCGGGCTTTGATGGCCTCCAGCTCCTGGAGTGGGTGGGGTAGGGGAACCGGGCTTAGTAAAGGAAACATGGAGGGGCCTCATCGGCTTCTCCGGCCGTAGAGACTGTCCGAGGCAAGCGCTAGCGCCCCCCTCCCCCTCCCCCCCACCTCGGAGAGCCCCCCACGGCCCCCTCCTCCCCCGCCCCACCCCCACTACCCCCACCTCGGCCGGGACGGGCCCCTCCGCGTCCTGGCTCCGGATCCAGCTCCGGCCTGGGCCCTAGCCTCGGCCTCCCGCCTGCCGCCGCCGCCGCCAGCCAGCCAGCCAGCCAGCCAGCCAGCCAGCCAGCCAGCCAGGACTCCGAGTCCCGTCCCGTCCCGCCCAGCTCCGCGTAATTCCCCGCCCACGACCCGCCCGCCCCCACCCCCCGCTGGCCGCCGCCACGGCTGCCCCTCTCCCGGCCCGGGGCCTCAGGCCCTTCCCTCATGACCCCGACCTCCCAGCCAAACGCCCTTCCTCACCGGGTCCTCGATAGCGCCGTCCCCCGGGTCGCCCTCGACCAGGCCCGGCTCTTCCTCCTCTTCCTGACTGCCAGGGGCTCCTGCGCCGGGCCCAGGGCCGGAGGCTCCCGGGGGGGCGCGGGGCCGGGGCGGCTCCTCCTCGGGCTCGGGCTCGGGCTCTGGCTCTAGCAGCAATTCTTCAGGCTCCAGCTCCCCCGCCTCCAGCCCGTTCCCGTAGTCCCCCGCGCCGCCCGGGGCCCCCTCCCCGGGTTCCCCCCCGGCCCCGGGCACAAGATGGCGCCGCCGCCCCGGCCCGGAGCCTCGACCGCCCGCAGCCCCCGCTGCTGCTGCCGCCGCCGCCGCCGCCGCCATAGCCGCTCAGACTGGGGCCCGCCGCCCGGCGATTGGAGAGCCGCGCCGGCCACGCTGGGGGCTCATTAGCCAAGCAGCCTGCCCGTCACAAGTCGCTCGGAGTCCATTGGGTAGAAATACTTGGCAATCAAATAAGATCACGCCTCTAAGGCGGGGCAGCTAGCCAAATCCTCGAATCTCGGTAAGGAAAACTTGCCTGTCAGTCAACGTCGGTTCCGCCTTCTCCCGTCATTAGGTAACAATCCTGCCACGCTGTGACGCTATCCCCGCCTCTCTTTCCCTATGGGCAGCGCCCCCTCTCCGCACTCATCTCGTCGTGCAATGCGATTGGCCGCTAACTACGAAAGGCGGAACGGAACCTAACGCACACCTCCCCACAACCCTATCCAAAGCTCGGCTGCCGATTGGTCCCAGAGGTTCGAAGGGCCCCCACCTAGGTTATAACACGTGACCGCTTCAGCCAAACGACTGTCAAATACAGAGCACGGGACCTCAGGTCATATGATCGAATTCTGAGGATGCCGCCATCTTGCTTCTTTTAGTCACTCTGAGGGCAAGTGAAGTCTGAAAAGGGAAACTGTAATAAGGACAAAAAAGTAGCTTCCCGAGGATAGGCTGCTAGAATTGGAGCGTTTGTAAGGTGTTTCATTAACCACAACACTCCATTCAGGATTCGACTTGCATTCAAGAATGACTGCTTGGCCTCTTCCCTCCTGACCTGGCCTTTCCAGGGCCTGTTGCTCCCTCTTCATACTTCCATAAACCTCTCCTATAAACATGAAGCAGAAACCAGCACACCAACTTAACCCGACACTATTCTGTGAAGAGTTGCCACATTTTCACTTTGAGAGAGTAAGAAATGCATTACCCCAAGAAAGGTTGTAGGCTAACTGATCATAAGCATCTTTTGGGAAGCCTATGGTTCAAGATTCAAATAGACATTCAAAAAAATGGGAGATGGCAAAGTCCGAACATCATACCATTGACATAGGTGGGATTTACAGCCCTACATTTCTAAGTTTAATTTGAAACCTTACTCTCTAAAGCTTCATAAACTACCATCTCCTTTTCTCATATCAAACTCCCCATTCCCAGCCAAAGCCCTCACTTTGAGGCAGACATCACTGCTTTGGTAACCTGTTTCACGTACAAAGCCACACTACGATGGTAGAACTAAACCAGATTATCAAAGAGGCTTATTGGGGTTGTAGTGTGTTTTACCTTAATATAGAATATGATGTCTTTATCTTACTAAAGCCCTACTCCAGGGCTGGTAGCATAGAGCTTATCAAAGGTTCTCAAATACTGTAATGACAGAGTCCAGACTCCAGCAGGTCTAACCAAAGTAGAAAGGCTTTTCTAATGGATCTGACAATGGGCTGTGTGGGTCAGCCACAGACAAACCTCTAGCCAAGTTTGAAGAGGCTCATCACCAGAAGGCTGACCACTAGATAAATTTTCTTAGCCCCACCTAAACTCATGAAGACCAACTAAGATGATATAAACAGTAAAGAAAGAAATAAGAAATGAAATCCCTTAGATAAATACCATACAAAGAGAAAGTCCTTAAGTTGCACAGTTTAGCACGATTAGCACATAGAACCTAATAAATGCTTGATTGACTGATCTTGTACCTTAAAACTTAAGAATCAAACTGACCTTGGCTATTGGCTTGGCTTGGGATCCAAACCAGTCTAAACAAAGGAGTTTACAACATAAAACAACAGTGAAAGCAGAAATGCATTGGTACTGTAAAACAGATAGGCAATCTTAAGAGTATAATGAATTTGGGAAAGCTTGTACTCTTCTCACTCCATATTAAAGAGTTTATATCAGAGAGGAACACTATGGATGAACTAAGTGTATGGTTCCACAACCTTATTAAATACTACTTTTAGGTGTAGTCAGCACCATGGGAAAAACCTCAGAATGGTAATCATGAGACTTTTACTTGCCCATTAGATTACGAGGTCCATAAGTGTAAGGACTGTTTTATTTCATTTGTATCCCCAGCTTCTAGCACATTAGTTAAGTACCTAGCTTAACAAATGTTTGTTGAACTGAACATTTAATGGTGAGAAATAAACACTTTCTGGGGAAGTGAAGAAGTCCTGAGATGGTAGAAAGGTGAGAGTTGAACTACTGGAAATAGAGCTAGTCAGATGTGTATCGGGAGGTTGTTGTAAGTGACAGTTTTAACACTGGAAAGAGGGAAGAGTGGGGCAGACGAAGAGGAAGTGGGGGGGGGGAATGCAGGAGGACTTGGCTGGAATCTGAAGTTTGGGGGAGTAGATGAAGGGAGGCAAAAGAACTCCAGATGGGTACTAGCAGTTCTCCAGTTCTTTGGAGAAGAGAACACAAGTAAATTCTCTGAAACTGCAACAAGAGGCAGTCAAGAAAATTAAAAGGATTTCCTAACTATGGTGAGAATTAATATTTGGAGCTGGGGGGTGGGGGAGGGTAATACACTATATTACATAAAGACTGGAATCTTGTTCCCCAAAGATTTTTTAAAATTAGATTTTTGTCAGAAATGGTTTTGAAATAGCCCTGCTTAGAAGCAGAGGGACAGACTATATAGTCTATGGCTTATGTGTAAAATGACTAGGATCCATTGATTCGCTAACTGGAGAAGGAACAAAAGCTGTATTTTTTTTCATTAACTGTATTTAATATAAAACAAGCAGCAGTATTTTTTTTTTAAACCAGAACTGTGATTTCATTGGTATGGGTAACTCCCAGTGAGAAAACTCCCTCAACCAATGCAAATGGGCAACTGTTCTGAAACCTATAGTTTCAAGAGTTTCCTGGGCCACTGAGTGGGTTAGCTGACTTGCCCAGAGTCACAAAGAGAGTATGCATCAGAAGCCAGACTTGGCTAACTCAGCTGACTCAGTCAGCTCTATTTGCTGTACCACTCTGACTCTCAGCAGAATATTCAGGCAAAATTAATCTCCCAATTGAAGTTTAAGGCCTGAGAACCATAGCTGGAGAGTGGAGGGAGGTGACAGGGAAGGAGAGGATGAGACAAAAAAGTATGCTTGGAAAAGGCCAGGACTTGCCCAGGACCTTGTTGTCAGAGAAAGATTAGCTTAGGTCATATGGATGGAAGTAGAGGGTCTACCATGTTAATTCTTGATCAGAAACCCCCAAGCTTACTTGGGGTACTTCTCACATCCCTCTTGCCCTAATTCCTTCTCCTAACAAAATCACTGAAAGTTATTTGGAGGCCAGTATCCACCCACCCCATCCTTCCAGTTGTAAATGCAGAAGTCACAAACCCTGTTCAGTCCTCATTAAACTTCTGGATTTTATTTTTTAATACGACCATTACATATTACACAAAAATAAAAGTCAAATGAACCCAGTATTTATAAATTATTAAATAAAAATACATGAATATATATTTATATTTATAGAGCTTTTTTCTTTTCTTCTAAACTAACCAAATCCGTTCTCGCATTGTTTTCTGACTTGAAAAAGAAAAATAATGTATGTCCTGGCAGAAGTGGGGAGTGGGTGGGATAAGCACTCTCAGGACCTAGCTGCCCCACCTCCACTCCTCCCATGGCCTAAGCAAAGCCTCCCACCTGCCCCATGGGCTCTTGGGAGCAAGAAACACTCCCCCCCCCCAGCCTCTCCACCAAGTTTACCCTTTAGAAAATGGCAATTAAATGTGTTTCCCCCTACTTTTAATAAAATGGACTTAAAAACAGGGAGTCACACTCAGCCTGCTTGGCTAAGAGACAACCCCCAGGAACCGAATAGCCCCAAATAGAAAAGTCCCTGGTTTTCTGAAGGAAAGATCTTAGGGGCTTCCACTGCCCCCAGAAGGAGTGTCTGGCCAAAACTGCCCAGTGTGGTCCCATGCAGCCATGCTTCCAGAGACCAAGTCTGAGCATCCTCCCCTTTAAACCAATAACCCCTGCCTCCATCCAGGAGCAGGAGCCTCATAGCAGTGCTTTTTTTGTCCTTCTGACCATGGTTCCTGGTACCCCTGTTATTAAAGACCCTTAAGGGAGCTAACAGAGGCCACAGGTTAGGAGTCTGTGGTAGAGGGTGGGGGAAAGAGCTGCGTTGTAAGGGAAGAGGAGCACAAGCTCCAATTGTGAGCTGTTAGTTGGTCTGGGTTTGTCACTATTAAATCAGTGTTAACTGTCCTTCTCTCCATGCTGACCAACTATGACTGACTTGGTGCTTTCTGGCTCATGATACCATCTAACCCAGTACAGTCTCAGCAGAATGTCTGTCACCTCCCCACCCCTTACAAATTCCTCTAAGGAACACAGCTTTCAAAAGCAAAAGTTTGGATTAAACACCTGAGGCCAAGATTGGTCCCACATTCTAGAGCAGCGCAACTAAGTTGCCACATTCTGGGACCAAGTAAAAGTCTCTACCCAGAAGAGCCAACTGTGTTCTAGATGAGCAAGTCAGTGCTCTGGATCACAGGCAGGGTTCTAGAGCACAGCATGTCTGGAGTCAGCATTTAAGAGCAGCAATTTTAGCACCTTGGAAAGTGCAGCAGCAAGGTCTGGCTCAGGGCCATGCATCCAGAGGAAGGGAAGAGCTCCTTCCTTCAAAGAAAAGAGTTATTTCTGGATCCATTTGTGGGTTACGGAAATCCAGCATTCTCACACTAAGAGATGCAAACAGTTAACACCCATGCAACCAGCCTGGCTTCAAAGCATACATAAATGTTTCTAGATCATGGTATGCACTCTAGAACCCATACACCTGGCCTTTGATCTAGCAGCAGCAATGCCCACCACATGGAATGGGTTGGCTTCTAGAGTATACCCTACCCCCACCCCTGAGTTCAGAGCTGGGAATATCCCTCTCAAGGCATAAAGACTCAGTTTCACTGAGGCTTAGTGTTTACACAGAGCTATGTTCTAGATCAGCATTTGTGTTCACACTTTCAAAAAGGGAAATTTCACCCCCAATTTAGTGTTTAAATTTGGGTAGAGAGGTCCCAGAGATAGGGAACCTTTCCAGGCACC